AATGATAAATATATTTTTAATAGTAATATTATTTTCTTGGCTATTGTTAGTGAGTTTTAACAGAGTGACCGTTTTCAGAAAATCTGCAAAATAGCGCTTTAACTCACTGTTATAAGTTTCATCGAAATCGGATACCTAAAATATATTTAAAAAACTTGTGTGTGTACTTATGTACGCACGTAAGAAGTTATACTTCTTTGGCGTAACAGAACAAAAATAGCTAAAGATTTCATCTCGTATGTCAAAACCCTCCGTTTGTAAAAGGAAAGCAGCTAACTTCATCATGACGCTTTCAGCTAACTTCATCATGTCGATTTTGGCCTCGGTGCGCGCGCGCATCAATAATTATAACCTAAGCATTTCACTTAGGTATTTGCTATCATATAACTAAATGATTAATTTTTACTTAACATGTCCTTGACATTAGAAGCAACATGACCAAGACAGCTGTTTATTACATTTGCACCTAGTATATTCGATATCTTCGTCATTTAAGTCCAATTAATTGTCAGTAAGTGGTCTTAATTAGACTACCCACTGATCATAAACTATTATATTGAGTAAATCGATCAAATTACCTAAATAGGGAATGGACAACTACACTTTAGATCTATCATATCCATACTTCCATACTTAATATTATAAATTTGGAAGTGTGTTTGTTTGTTTGGCTTTCCTTCACGTCGAAAAGGAGTGATTTTCTGTGTGGAGATTGTGGGAGAAATGTAGTGTGACATAGGCTACTTTTTATCACAGGAGATTATCTTACTCCCACGGGAAAACACTACAATACAACCAAAAAATATATATTTATTATCAGAATTACTTGACACTTTTTTGGAAAGCGATAAAATGGCTGCGCTGCGTTTAAACTCCCGCTCAATCTCACTCGAGTTGAAATCACCGTACGAAATATATTTAAACAAAGTAATATATCTCAAGTTCTCCGAAAATGCACACTTACAGTGCGGGATATAGAATAGGAATTTCAAATCCAAAGAAAAATTATGTATAACTTCTGGGCTGGCCACAGCAGTGACAACTATAACAGATGAAAGAGAGAACCTAGCTAGGAGTGTATCCTGATGTTTCTAATATACAAATGAAGTCTTGGCTTGGCTCTGTGAACATATTACACTGACCCTTAAAACAACAGTGCTACTGCTTATAATAACGTTCAGCTTAAGTTTTTTCAAGAGTCAGAAATAGAATATAAGTTTGTCGATACAGCGATGCAAATGGTTGAAACAGTTCACTATTCTGTGGAGTTCCTTAACATTGTTAACCCACCAGGCCTTCTTCCAGGGGAGTCAGTATTCATCATCTGTGTGTAGCATCGCAGCGACCAAAGGAATATTAATAAAGTTTTTTTTATTTGAAAGATAACTTAATTAAATGTGCCCTTAGCCATAAATCATGAAAATCCGTTCAGCCGTTTGTAAGCTACCAGCTCTTTTCTAGACGGTAAAAGAGTATGAGCAACTTCCACAGATCTAATCCATTCGAAACTTGGTATCCCGTTACGTCAATGACATTGCGACCATATGGTAACCTTGGCCTAATGCGGCAGCGTCACCTGGAATCTGCAAATACTCAACGCTTTACTAAAATATTATAGAGATATCGTGTTTAGGCTCATTAAAATGGCTTCAATGTATAGGTAACGCCTAATATTGGGAGTTTTTTAAATTTTTAATTTGGTTTTTAATTTTTATTTGTTTAACCATACCTAAGGTCGCACCCGAGCGAGGCGAGGGTAAGTCGTTAGTGATGTTCTCCTAGCCGATTCCGGCCACGGCGGCCAATCTCATTAAGACTAGCCAACTGCGCAGAAGATATTATAGTGCACAAGTGTACGCGCAGATACAAGTGCACTCTCTATTCCTGTCACTCTCATACTCCGGTGGAACGACTGCTCGACACGACCAGTGAGGGTTAAAGCGCAGGACCGACGGCTTTACGTGTTCTCCGAGGCACGGGGGTGAAATACCGCCAACTTCCCAACTCCGGGATGTTACTGAGGCTTACTATACCGAAAGACTCAATAACTAAACTTGACACGATCTGGACTCTAACCCAGGACCTCCGAGTGTGAAGCCGTACATGCATACAGTTAAGTCGTTAGTACCTAATATATAAACTTATACATATGTATATCGCAGATGAGTTGTTTAATAAGATACATATGATCATGGCTTACATTTATTTGGTACAGATATTAATGCGTATTAATTACTAATAGTAGCTTGAGGCTTTAAATAGCGTATTGATTAATTGGTTCGGTAGATATTACGGTTATGTTTTTTATCATATTCTTGAAGGTCAGAACGAGTATCGAACCTCTCTTTTTTGGCATTTTTTGGCATTTTCCCCCCAACTATAAGTAGTTAGTTATTTTATTTCTTGACCTAAGGGTCAAGAAATAAAATAATTATATGAAGGTGAAGAACCGCGGTCCACTGTCACATAATGCTCGGCAGAAGTTGTTATATACATACATAAATAATTTGTTACAATCCATTAGGTTGAATTTATGTTATTGATATTGTATTTTAAAGGGTATCTAAAACTTAAAAGATTCTCACGTTATTTTTTAACCCCCGACGAAAAAGAGGGGTGTTATAAGTTTGACGTCGACGTCTGTCTGTGTGTGTGTCAATCTGTGGCATCGTAGCTCTCAAACGGATGGATCGATTTCGATGCAGTTTTTTTCATTTGAAAGCCAGTTTCCTTGTGGTGGTTCTTAGCTATGTTTGGTTAATATCGGTCCAGCAGTGTAAGAGTATGAGCTCTTTTCAAAAATGGTGTAAGGCATTTTGGCGTATGATTAATCGTGCCAGATGCCAGTATAATCGTTAAATGACAATTAATCTGGGTAGGGGATTTTTTAAATTTTCATCATATTGGTAGTTTTGTTTTCATTGGAATAGAAAATAAATACGTTTTGGAAAGAGAAAACATTATGGGAACATGCCCGAATATGTACCCATTAAAAGATCTAGCATTACTAGAACTACATAAGAAAAGAAGGGGGTAAAATTTTGTCATTGTATTATCACGTTTATTTTCAATTTCACGCGAAAGTGTTATGAGCGAAGTTGTTTAAAATCTAATTTCCGATAATTTTAGAACGTATCAATTTTTTCGTAAGATCGATATTTTTCAATTTATATTCGAAAAGAGGTGGATGGAGAATTTTCGTTTATTGAATTGTACGTTGTACGTACGTTTGGACATTAACACACAGCACCATCTAGTTTCATAGTAAGCTACGAGGCTTGTGTTATGGATACCAGATAGTTGATGCACTACACATATATAACATTAAATACATACATATTATAAATATAAACACCCATGACTGGAGTACAAACCTTCGTCATCACACAAATGAATGCCCCCAGCGGGACTCGAACCCACGACCGCCGGCACAGAAAGTAGGGCCACTACAAACTGAGCCAAACGTGTCGTTGAAAGTTGTGTCGTACGAAATAAACGAGTTATTCAATAAACAAAAATCAAGCTTTAAATTCAAGATGGCGGTTTACGCAAGGACGGTCTGATACCCCGAGAATCTCCAAATTTCAAAGAATTCCAAAGAAATTTTTTGCAATGCATGCCCCTTTTTGAGCTAATTCTACTGGGCTATAAATTGAACGTTGAAACGTCACGACAAGTCAAAAAAATTCAAGATAAAATACTGCAAGTGTCGTAGAAGACGATCCTGTATCGGTTATCACACCTTGGGTCTTCTGCGTGACGGCTGGTAAACAAGAGCATTCTCAAAGAGGGTTAATGTCTGGCAGGCAGCGGGTCATACAACTTTTGCGAAAACCGATCAGCAGTACAGAAGATGTACTGTGCCACACCACAACAATTATATGATGTGTATGTTGACCACAAGTAATTTGGAAAATAGGTAGGAGGATGATGAATAAATTAAAAGTAGGTACCTATTCTAGTAACTTGACACCCATAAAATAACCTTTTACCTTAATATTTAAAGAAAATCAACACTATCATTTAAAATGAGGTTACATTCCAATGGCATGCAGGGTAGGCAGACAGAATAAAGTGAGTCAGCGCCTTATACTCTACTTCAAGCCGAATCTAGGGTGATGCGCATTTGATGGTTTTTCCGAACGTCGCGCTTCCGAGTTTATTAGACCGGAACAAATATATGTGGCCCCGTCAACTTGTGCAAGTTCGAACCCGCGACATAACGCACCGAGGGTTGGCCTTTGGCCAACCTTCGTGATGTTATAAAATAAATTATGCTCTTTGTAAAAAAACAAGAACGTGGTGAAGTCCTATGATTAAAGACTACTTCTCTCACTTTTTTATCTTTATATATACTTTGCTGCAGTGTAAAACAGTAATATTCTTATGAATTTTTGCATCCGATTTATAGCATTACGTAGTGTGCACGTATCCACTTTTAAATCCGACGTAGATAAACTTTGTTTGTTGAACTAACGAGTAGAGCAAAGGGCATTTTTTCGGGGAAAGATAAATATTTCGACACAAAATTTTAACGAAGAGTTAGTTTGACATATCAAATTTTTATCTATTTTAAACATAGCTTAACCGAACATGTCACAATGTTTTCGATTACACTATACTCGTAGATATAGCTTAACTTCTAAAAGGCTATTAATTTCATTACTTTTGACTGTAATTACTATCAATGTATATTTTTAAAGGTTAAGAATAAAAATAAAATTATAAAATATATAAAAACGCTGTTGAGTTAAACGTGGGATTTAATCTGAAACTTTTTATGAAAATATTGTGACAGCGAATTCGGTCGTTGAAATCAAACATGACTGCAACAAGTTTGCAGTGTGAATAACAATCATATACGTGAACTGTCGATTAAGTTATTTTATGAATAAAATAAATATAATGGTTATGAAATTAAAGTAATAATGTTCTCATTTGAAAAAATAACAGTTACCATGTAAAAATACGAGTAAACATTAATATATAATAATAATTACCCCCAGAGACGTTTTCTAGAGTAAACGCATTGAACTTCCACGTCACAGATTGTTGCAAGATGCACTGTAAAGAAACATAATAACATTAATATTATATTACATTATATTAATTATAAAACAATTAAGGTTATACCGCTCGTAACATTCGCATGGCTGATTCGCGCAGGTTTATAGAAAATAGCTTGGTAGATTATTGCAGACAGACATGCATATACAAAGAGCAGGTCAGAAGTCCTTCTTAAAATAAGGGTACATTTATAACGAAAAATGTGATTCTATTGAACTATTCATGCAAAAATTAAATATCTATTTCATACACACGACGTTTTTTATTTTACGACAAATTTTCCGCTATTTTGTGTGAAATATGGCTAGGTGATTACTATTTTTTTTTATTAGTGCTTTCACACACTATATGTCGTTTTCATTTAGGTAATTATTATGGTGTCTTATGATTGTATCTTTTTGTTATAAAGTTCCGAGCCATATTTAATGCTGCAAGCTTAAAGGAAAGTTAGTTGAAAATCTATTGTTATTCCGTTTAGAACCATACCCGGCAAACAAGAAAGCCAGTCAACAAAAACTTCGTACAAATAAACATATAATAATCTACATAAAAAATACTGTCTCTGGTTACAGTTTTAAAGAATGCATGTAAATATTTTATATTCCGTCGCAAAATGAGTACTTAAAACATATGTCATGGTCTCATATTATAGGTACATACCGTTCCATAAACACTAGCATCGGCAAAACTATTATATTAATACTTCGACTTTCTTTATTGTTATGAAAATAAGCTAAGTGTAACGCTTGATTTAGATAAACCATTTGTACCGTTCACAAAATTTGGCTTTGAAAGTGTAAACAAATAAGTCACACGATTTTATGGGCATTACTTTATTTTTAATAAGAAGGGTTTATTTAAGTGGCAGTTTAATGTTGCGAATCGAATCAATACATTAGTCTTAAATTAGCCTTATATGGTAAGTGCAGTAACATGTAGCACTTTTAAAGTTATTAAAGGAAAAAAAATATTGCAATTAATTATTTGACTATTATATCGTATGTTTTTAATTATTGTATCCTGCCGTATATTACACATATAGGTAAGTAAATTTCTTAAATTTAGTTACGTAAGCGACATCGTGGCGTCCTTGCGCGGACAACCTGAGACGCGAGATCATCAACATCATATGCACATACAAACAGACAGCGCGTATGCTCCGTGAATACAAACAAAAGCTATTTAAATTTGAGGCGGGTAACGCGTATTCGTGGCGCGAAGGGCGTATTGACCATGATTGTCGATATGGCGTTTTCCTTTGCGTCTTAAAAAGTAATACCCATATTTCGACAAGGCTGTAAAAACGCAAACGAGTAGTCGCACGACATGGTTACTTCGCAGCATAAATGTCGCTAAATAAATTCAGTTCGCAATGTTAAATGAGGCTTAACGACTTACGTTAACAAATATATATGAGCAGCATTATGCGTCAGTCAGTAGTCCACTTGCCTGCACTTGTCCAAGTTGCAGGTCGTCCAGAAGAGCGGCTTCCTGACACAGGGATCTGGTTAAGAGGCGCTTTTTACGCCGTTTGTGCATCGTCAGAAACCGGCCCGTACATATGTTGCGCCTTGCCATAATTCCAATTTCAGTCGCCGCTTGGGTGACAACTACGATTTCTTGTACTGTGAACAAAATCATTAATCAATTTAATTTAAAGTTCAATATTTTCAATCGTAATATTTCATCTCGCGTAACAAATTAAACATTATAAAGTTATTTGTTTTTAATTGTAAGGTGTCGTTGAATGCTTCTTACATTATTATATTAATAATGAGCCAATTAAATCGAATAGTTAATGCGAGAACTGATGAACACAATGAGCGATTCAATGATGTTACAACGTGATAGCGATACAAAAATTTATCAGAGTTAGTGCTCTCAATCGATAGTACAGGTTATTGCGGTAAATGACTCAATCTGAAATATCTAGTGTTGTATATCAACAACTCGCAATAAGCAACGCTCCGTATTTTCAAAACGGTATTATTTAAATATATGTAGATAGCCTCCGCAGCAGTAGCTTGTTGAAAACAAAATAATTAACTTATAATGCGAAACAAGGTAATATTTGAATAACAAAAGAAAACGAATGAGTGGTAAAAATCAAAGAAAATCGATTATAAATGCCTGCACATCACACTCGGTACGTAACATGCCACTCATATACGATAACTATATTGCGTAATCGCTCCAGTAACACTTAAGCATCGGTTTAAATTGCACGCGTCTTCGCGCAATAGTTTCCAGAGGGAAACGTCACGTCTGATATTTCCTTCGAGACGTATCCGTATTCTAACGGAGGACCTTATAATCTACATATATGCTAACTTTAGAATATCGAAATATTTATTTATTATTAGCGTAGATCAATTAACATTTTTCAATAAATGTGCTTATGGGTATATATAATATGGCTATATACATATTTTGTAAAGAAGGAAGCCGGTTCGTCGGATGTATTTCTGCTTTTTTTAAATTTTTAAATTTTATGTAGACACAATAGGCTCTTAATTGACCAGCTCACAAAAAAGCAACAATAATATATATATATATATATATATATATATATATATATATATATATATATATATATATATACAGTACAATTAAGAACCTCCTCCTTTTTTGGAGTCGCTTAAGAAAGATATATCAAGAAGAATATTTGTTTGAACGTGCTTATTTCTAGAACTACCAGTTCAAATTGCCAAAAAATATTTTTACATTTAATATCTTTTTATTGATAAAAACTATCAAACTCAAAATGATAAAAATAGCTAAAAAAAGATTTCTCAAACGGTTTTACTGAAAAGAATGATTGATGTAGATTATGTACTAAAAGCTAAAAAAATATGTATTAGGTAGATCCTAATTTAGTCAGCATACCACTCTCGTCATCAATCTAGGGCATTGATCAGGCCCAAAAATAAAATCGTGGGGCGCGTGAAATTTCTACCACCAGTCAAACGCTCACATCATTATAAATGCTATTTACATATTTGCTCAGGTTACGCTACGTCCCACGATTTTATTTTTGGTCAATGCCCTAGATTGATGAGGAAAGTTGAGTGATGTCTAGTACCTAGGTTCTACCTAATTATTTTTTAGCTTATAGTACATTATATCTACATTATTATTATTATCTTTCTTTTCAATAAAATCGTTTAACTTTTAAAAAAATACCTATTTTATTTTCAAATTTTTAACTTTTTTTAAACTGTCTAAACTCTTATTATGATCTGCATGCATGCACTGTGTTTTACTTGCAAAGATCTTTCATTTGATACCCATATTGAGGGGCTTGTGAAAAAATATGTAATCCACCATTTTGTAGCAGCGGCCATTTTGGATTTACAAGGACACTGAATATATTTTATTGTATTGTCATCTGAACTAAAGGTGTGTACCAAATATAACATCAATTTGACAACGGAAAAGCGGTAAAATTTTAATTACTAAATTTTAACCAAACAAACAGAGTAAGCTTAATTAAACCGTTTAAAAACTACCAAAAACACAAACGTACGAAACCTTGGTTATGGAGGTATTATTAAAAAACCGCGAGCGGAATTAAAGACTAAAGCTAGTAACATCTACACTAATATTATAAAGAGGTAAAGTTTGTAAGTTTGTACGTATGTAGAAAGTAATCTGAAACAACTGATCAGATTCTACAAAAATTATCACCAGTAGAAAACTACTCGTATGTTACTGCCGAGTGCTAATAGCTATTATTTCTACCAATAAAAACGTGTATACACTCAGAAATTATAATAGCTTTAATTGATATTGAAAAATATTTACAAAATTATAAAACCCGACTGCGTAAAAAGTGAACTAAAAGAAGAGAAGAAGTTGACGAAGAAACGTAATATTATGCAGTCGGAGACACAAATCCAGCTATTCTAAAAAATGCAGGTACATATTAAACATATATTATGTTACATGCCCTATGACACTCGCGTTATCAAGACGAATAAATGACATATAAATCATCAAATCGGTTAAGCCGTTTCGTAATTACGATGGAACATAGGATGGGGCATAATAATGTACATACATACATACAGGTCAAACACATAACCCTCCTTTGGGCTTCACTGCAGTGGGATAAAAAATGGCAGTTACTCGGCTATGTATTAATTATATTGAAATATGAAAAAAAATATGGAAAAGAATATTCTTAGGTAGGTACAAGTAGTCTATCTGTACGACGTACTTCAACGATTGGATGCATGCAAGCTGTGCTTTATAATAAATAGTTAACAAGAATTCTATTGAGAAAATTTTTATCGCAACTAGGAAACTAAAATATTAAAATACTGAGAAGCTTTTCTATAAAGTGGCTTTGTTTCTCTCGAATGTTCACTATTAATGATACTTAACGTGCAATTTTTAATCTTTTTATTAACAAAACGAAGACGAAATATATAATAATTATGAGTTAGTCTTAATTTGCGTGTAATAAATAAAGGCTGCGTTAGATTTTGGCTGTTTTATAATAATTTATTCATCGATACGATATCAGTTTACGAGATCACTATAATAATAATCCTGGATTGATATAGCTATAGCACTACAGAGTTGCTGTTTATCACGCTATGTTTACTGATCGTTGATAAAAAGCCAGTAAAAGCTTGTATAAATCGTACATACTAATGTCATCTATATCAGCGTGCTGGTGATTATCGGGCTCTGTGTTATTATAATTTACCCACTCAGATAAACTTAAATGATGAAAAAATCCATTTTCCTTTAATAAAAGTCCATTCTCTTTTATATGTAGTTCAAAATTCACCTAATTTAAAGGAAGCTATATACTATAGTTACTTTATCTGGATAAGCAACGTAATGTGGTGATAATATAGGTGGAGTTTGATTAGTACATTCTTATAAAAGCTGCTCCATTACATAATCGTAATAAAATATAGGTAGTAGTTTAAAGTATTATTGACATTTCAAAATAGCATGTAAGCTAACTGAGCTACCTTTAGGCACGGGGGTCTGTCATTAAGATCGTACACCGCGACTACCGATGTTCATTATGAAAACTTATTATAGTACCTGTCTATTAAATCGTATAGATGACCGACGTAGCGCCCAAGCCCTGCCCGCCGAATTTGCCGTCAATGTCAATGAAAATACTGAAGTTTAGATGTCGCGACTTGTAAAAGATTCGAACTGACGAAATTAACACAAAAAAGGCAAAATTGTACTAGAAATGTGTCGAATAATAATATACATATAAATATTTTTTGTTACTTTTAATTAAATATGTAGCAAATTTGTTAATTTCCATAATATTAATGGGAGACAATGGCAGAACTCGTGTCCAGACGTTTCCGCCATGACAATCATACGTGATATCTGGCATCGGCTGATGTTACTACGTCAGACATGTTACAAAACCACGGCGTTAGCTTGAAAATTTAATATATATGACTACTATTGACGTTGCTGGTCTTGACAACGTAAATGGTGCAAGTTCAATAAATTTTTCAATTGCTTCCTATCATCCTCCTATATTCATAATGATAAAACTGTAAAGTTAGGTTTGCTAGTTATTATAGTTTAAAATATGAAGTTTCTTATCTATATTTTATTAAGGATGGCGTTTATATAAGATACCTCATAAACAATAGTTAGATTAATTATTGTAGAATAATAAGGGAAGCGCAGCGTTACGTGGTTGCGAACGTAACGCTCGCAGAGTGCTAACACTAATTGGCAGCAGTAATTGGAACTGTGGTTGGGCTTAGGATAATACACAATTTTTCCATCAGTGTGACCTTTACTTGGCTTGGATAAATTAATTAAATGAAGCTATATCGAAAAAATACATTTTACAATAAAGCTGTAACATAAGTGCGTATAGACATATTATGGATATTTTCACTAAGTGCGTGTATATTACAGATATTTTACCTACAAATACATTACATTTGTGCTAAATTTTGCCAGTTAAATAGGTGTTCATAATGGTTATTAAAGTTTTTAAGCTCCTTAAATTGACTTTAAACTTTAATATTCTTGTTTTATATTATATATTTTTCTATATTAAATGGTTACTGCAGTGGCGAAGGATCCATACAAGACGTCTACCTTTAAATGTATTTTGTTTTTTAAATGTGTAAATGTTTTTTTGGAAATATACACATAATTTCTTTTTGAATTAATACGTATATAAAAATTGTATATTTTTTGGAACGGCTTACCTCTGCTAAAATTTCACCTTTCGCCACTGATGGTTAGGATATGTTACTAGGAATAACAATTTCAATATATGTAATTATATGTATACCAATCCGTAAATGAGTCACTGTAAGCCTAAGTGAAGTACACAAAAAAAGTCATCAAAAACGATGAAGTCGTTTAGGAGGAGTAGAATTAAGATCAAACGCATTTTAATATAAAGATTTACTATAAGACAATTAATTAATTAATGAATTACAAGTAATATGTCATATTACATTGAATATTTTACTTAAGTACATGTTTCTTTAAAAAAATCTATATGCCTTAAACTATTTTTATTCATACTTTAAAATATAAGCATACTAAAAGTATTCGACTTTGGCAAATGTTTTACAAGACGCAATCTTGGCTATAAAAGTTCCGCATGCAA